AATAAAAAATATATATTTGCCCTTTGCCTCTTAGGTACCATGTTTACAGGGCCTAGGTCTGGCCATTTTTTTTTTTTTTAAGAACATCTTTTTTGGCTGGGCACAATGGCTCATGCCCATAATCCCAGCTGAGGCTGGAGGATAGCCTGAGTCCAGGAGTTTGAGACCAACGTAGGCAACATAGGTAGACCCTGTCTCTATAAAACAGAAAATTAGCTGGGCATGGTGGTGCACACCTGTGGTCCCAGCTACTCAGGAGGCTGAGGTGGCAGGATCACTTGGGCTCAGGAGGTCAAGGCAGCAGTGAGCTGTGATTATGCCACTGCACTCCTGCCTGAGCAACAGAGTGAGACCCTGCCTCAAAACAACAAAAACCACCCTCTTTATGTCACTGCATACTTCTGTTCATTGTTGATTTCTCACCCTATGCTTTAATTCTGAATGTTTGAGTGTTCCAAGGTAATCTCATTCTGTCCTATGGTTTTAAATGTTATCCCTATATTAATAACCCCCAAATTAAGTGTTTGTATCGTTATTTTATTCAAATCTGCATCGCTATTATTGACTTTTTCTCTGGAACTCCAAATTTAGGTAAAAGACTGCCTACTTCACATCTACATCTAGTTGTCTAGTTAGCTATCAAGCTTAATACACCCAAAACTTAATTTTCATAACCAAAGCTGCTTTTTCCACATTTGGCCCTGTCTCAGTGATTGGAACACATGGGAACACATTGTCTCAGTGATTGGAACACATGGGAACACATTGTCTCAGTGATTGGAAAACATTGAAATACATTGATCCATTTGATAAGCCAAAATCTGCAGCCTTTTTGTAGTGTTTTTTGTTTGTTTTTCTAGGAAAATACACAACATAAAATTTACCATTATAGAAGTGTACTGTTTATTGGCATTAAATACATTCATATTGTTGTACAACCATCACCACCTTTCATCTCGAGAAGCCCCATTTACCCCTCTTCCCTACACCTGCAGCCATGGTTCTACTTTCTGTCTTGGAATCATATGGTATTTGCCTTTTTGTGATTGACTTATTTCACTTATCATGATGTCCTCAAAGTTCATCTGCATCGTAGCATATGTCAGAATTTTCTTCCTTTTTAAGGTCAAATAATATTCTATTGTATGCATGAAGCAGGGTCTTGTGCTGTTGCCCAGGCAGGAGTGCAGTAGCACAATCATGTCCCACTGCAGTCTCAACCTCCTGGGCTAAAGTGATCCAGGAGTGTGAGTGTGCCACCATGCCCAGCTAATTTAATTTTTGTAGAGATGGGGTTTGACTATGTCTCTCAGGCTGGTCTTGAACTCCTGGCCTCAAGTAGTCCTCCCACCTTGGCCTCCCAAAGTGCTGGGATTACAGGCATGAGCCACCACATCCGGCCCCATTTTGTATGTATACCACATTTTGCTTATCTCTTCATTTGTGGTGAACACTTGGGTTGCTTGCATCTTCTGGCTATTGTAAATAATGCGGCTGTGAACATGGATGTATAAATATCTCTGAGACCCCCCCTCTCCTTTCCTTTTGGTATATATCCAATAGTGGAATTGCTGGATCATATATTATGTTTTTAATATTTTGAGGAACCACTCTTTTTCCCACTGTACATTCCTATCAGCAATGTACAAGGGTTCCAGTGTCTCCACATCCTTGCCAACATTTACTTTCTGGGTTTTGTGTTTTTTGGATAGTAGCCATCCTAATGTATGTGATGTCTCATTGTGATTTTGATTTGCATTTCCCTAATGATTAGTGATGTTGAATGTCTTTTCATGAGCTTATTGGCCATATGTATATTTTCTTTGGAGAAATGGCTATTTAAGTTCTTTGCCTATTTTGCATAAGGTT